GTCGAGTGGAAAGCGGAGGGGCGGGGAATGGCCATTAAACTCATTACACCGTAGTAGGTCCGTGTGTAGTGGATGAATCTTTGACTAACTTTTGCATTTTCATCGTGGACTCGGAGAGGGAACTCACCGATGCGTAATCGAACGAATATTTCCGTTCGAGATATCCGGGGGGAGGGAAAGGGGTTTATTTCATTTTCTCGTCCTTTTTTCGCCGAATTTCGCGAGTTTCCCTCTCCCTCGTACAATCACGCCACCGCTTAAACCAGTGTAAATTACTTTTGCGCTTGGAAAGCGTAATACTCGTGAAGGGAAAATGATGCCCCTCGGTGGTTCGGTTCGAACAAAGGACTCGTCCTTTTAAAATAATACGAGCCATTTCCCGGGAGTGTGTATCTCTTTAATATCTTTAATTTATACGACGAGGCTGCACCACGTTGTACCTCGTTGCGCGGATTATCGACTTTTATCGCGGAGTGCGCGTTTATTACAGATGCGACGAGATTCGTATTTCTATTCTTTGCGCGAAAATTTTTCGCGTTTTTAATTTAGAATAATAAATAAAATAAAACAGGTATAGGCGTATCTTCCTCGTCGCTTGGACGGCGGTCAAGTTAGGGGAAAAGTTTGGAGAATCGGGGCGAATCACGCGCGACGTTGAGTGGCGGAGACAGAGGAGCGAATCGAGTGTCGGGTGGAGGTAAATGGGCTGGAAATATTTAACCCGACGCCTCCACGCCTCTTTCCGTCTCGTTGAATTAGCGGATGAAGCGAACGAGAGAGAGGGAGCAGGTGAAAAGGAAGCTGCTGCTGTGGTTTTCGACCCCCTTGAACGCCGATGACACGTGCAAAATTTTTCGTCCCCGTGTTTCGATCGAGGGAGAAACTTCTCATCGATCGCGAAGAAACGCGATTCAAACTCTTCTCACAGAGATGTCCTCGAACGTCGGTTGGAGGCCGGGTTGCGGTTGACCTTCGACGCAAGCAAAACTTGAAACGCAACGATCGTAAAACTTTGTCTCCCTCTCCACTCGCTCGATTCGGTCGAAACGACGACTCGACTCGACTCGATTCGATTCCATTCGCAGCTCGTTCGTCCACTTTATAATCGCTACCCTCGTTTCGTTCCCTCTTGTTTCGCCCTCCCCGTTTTATCGAACAAGCAGTTGAACATCGAAGACATTGAGCGAAGAACTCGGTCGGTTAAACAGGATGTTATCTCTGCAAGTATCCGATCGAGATGCAAATTTGCATTTCGTCGATGCTACTCTCGGCCCTGTATTATTATATATATATATATATATACATCGACGCGATTTCTATCGATTCGGAAGTCTCGTTTACCCACCTCGTCGATACAAGGAAAGGAAAACGGAAGCCGATTTGATCGATCGCTACTACTACTATTCACAATTAGCCGGTAAAAATGTTATCGATCCGGGAAGATCGAGAGCGTGTAACGGAAAGGTGATTTCAAAGCTGGTCATTTTGTCTCGAAACGATCTTTCCCCGCGAGATAAGATCTCGCGCGAGGCGAGTGAAATAGCGTTGAATTGGCAGGGAGCAGCCCCCACTCTGGGCGAAATTCTAGGCTCGCGGCGCGCGAAATTCGTCACGTGATAGTTGGATAATAAAGGATAGAAAGGAGGAGGGAGAAAACCGCGTCGAAAGTCGTAAACGCCGAGGCCCTCGTACGACGCCGGTAACCCGTATTTCACAGGGCCAACTTTGTTTCGAGCGGTGCTAAAAACGAAACGAACGATCGGCGGCCGTCTCTCTCATACGGCGGAATTATGCAAATAACGAGGCTCCACGTATCCACGATGCCATTCCGGAATCCCGAACGCCGCCACACAGATAATATCGGGCCGTTCTTCGTATTTCTNCCCGTCTCCCTCCCCTCCCGTTCTCTATCCGTTAACGAGAAAGGATCGCGATAAAATTGCGTGCGGAGCAACTCGATCGTCGGTCGCGATAAAATTATCAATTTGATTTAACGCGAGAATAAAGTGAGAGAGGAAGAGAGGGAAAGAAAGAGGGGAGAGGAGGAAAATAATTAAGAGAAATATTACTTTAATTCGATTCTTATCCACTCGATGCGTAGTATTTCTTTTTTTAACCGCACTACGCGTAGGGTAATAAAGCTCGACAACCGTGAAAAACGAATCTCTCTCTCTCTCTCTCTCTCTTCCCCTCTCGAGGACCTCGATCGAAACTTCTTCTTCTCCTTCTTCTTCTTCTTCTTCTTCTTTTTCGAGGAGAACAGGTGGCTGGCGATTCGACTCGCACGTTCCTCCTCCCCCCCTAATTTTTTACTCGCTCTCTCTGTCTCCGGACGAAGTGTAGCCTCCTCGTTCCTTCCCAGTGGATCGTTTAATCGGTCACAGGTCGGTAATCCGATCGCTTATTCGCGATCCTTGTTACCAGCGCGGGCAGGTAACAATCGCGGCGCTGCGATCGCGCGTGCCCCCATTTTCATCGACAAGAAATATTATTCGGGGAAAGATTACACGGAACGATTTTGCGCGAGGACGATCATCGGCGAGGACACCGAAAGAAAGGGCACACACAGAGAGAGAGAGAGAGAGAGAGAGAGATTACTAATTGGCAACCGCACGCGCAGGAAGCACGCGGTACGCCCCGAGAAAATCAAATT